ACAGTTTACGACTTCCCTCCCTTCCAGTGCTATTGGTGAGCTTCGCTTTTGTTCGTAGAGTATTCCTTAGTCATCTTTATTTAGCTATTTATTTGTTTACTTAGAGAACTGGCCATGAAATCTCATGTCATGAGCAGTGCGTCAGTTTATCAGTAAAGGCTTCATAGACAAAGTCGGTTGGTTAAGATTCAGATGTTTTTGATAATAACTTAGCAGTATTTTATTGGTTACTACGAATAAAGTTTTGAAATTGGCTTATTTTAGATATTTAACTTATTTAAAAATATTTGGTTACAATAGTGCCTCGTGGCATATAAAGTTTGAAGTTATAATAGATTTGATAAGCGCAGATGGTTCGCTCGGTCATGTTTAGTGATTGGGTGCCGGTCTCGACTTGTTCAGAAAATGGATTGTGAAATAGGTATTAGTATTTTGTGACTTTTACCTGATTCCGAGACGTGGGCCCGGGGAGACCTTTTGGACGATTTTTTCAATTTCTTGCTTTAGCTTTGATTTCATTACCTAGATTAATTCCTTGAAGTTATATTTATGTTATGTAATTGATTTTGGCTAGATTTGGTCCATTTGGAGTCGGATATTCGTGGGAAAAGCATTGTTACGGATTGATTTGAGCTTGGTTTGAGGTAAATAACTTGCCTAACCTTGTGCGGGGGAACTCCCCTGAGGATTTGGTACTGTTTTGATATGTGAGCGCCGTGTACGTGAAGTGACGAGTGCGTACACGGGCTATTTGTTGTAAAATTCCATTTTTCACTAGGTAATAACCTGTTTCACTTTATTTGAACTACACTAGCATAAGTAATTATCCTATTTAGTTTAGAATAGCATGTCTACGTGTCTTAATTGCCTATCTGAACTTTGTGCAACATGCTTAGTGAATTTCCTGCCTCTTCCTTGACTTGTACTTAGTCTAAATTGTAGGATTTTTTGTTGTAGCTGTTATTTCTATTGTTTGAGCTGTGTATTTACTTTTGGGACAACAGAACGGTATTCCGGAAGATCCCCAGCACATTTACTTTGGGACTACGGAACGGTATTTTGGGAGATCCCTCTGTCTTGCATATTTACTTTGGGACTACGGAACGGTATTCCGGGAGATCTCCCTATACATTTATGTTTGGGACTACGAGATGGTATCTCGGGAGATCCCATGTTGTTATCTCTGTGTACTGAGCTGTTACCTTGCTATGATTTCATTCTTGTTAAATTTCGGCCTTTATTTCACTGCGATATTTCATTCTGTTTTGTTTTATTATATTTATACTAGTAGGGCCCTGACCTGATTTCATCGCTACTCGACCGAGGTTAGGCTTGACACTTACTAGGTACCATTGTGGTGTATTACCTGCACATATTTTTCATGTGCAGATCCAGGTAACTCCTACCAGTCTCATTTTTAGTTGCACAGTTGCTGCCATTCCAGAGATTTTAAGGTACATCTGTCGCGTACGCAGCGGAGTCCCCTTCTATCCTTTCTGATGTTGCTTCCTTTTTATTTATTCTACTACAATTGTATAGAACATTTGACAAAGATATTAGAAGCTTGTAACTTACGGTGTTCCGGGTCTTGGAAGAGTTGTGTACATTTCGAGAGTGATTATTGTATATACCGAGTGACATCTCAAATATTTTATTTAAGTTATTTGTTATTGTTAGTTGTTAATTTTTATGTTTTCCATTTCATTTTCGCAAAGTGTTAGGATTACCTAGTCGTAGAGACTAGGTGCCATCACGACAAATTCACGTAGAGAGAATTTGGGTCGTGACAACAGCTCACCTAAGTCCCCGCAAATAACCACACCTCTACGCCCATAGGACCACCAGACATAAATGTACCTGCACAAAAATACACAGCAAGTGTAGTATGAATACATAAATCAACGTGTACTTAGTATGTATCTAGCCTAAGCCCGGAGAAGTAGTGACGAGCGCTCGACATCGACACTTACTAGTGGTCCAATAATATCAGGTACAATAATAATAAGCAGATATGAAGTAAAACAAATAAACAAAATAAATGAGTATAAATACGCGGTACAATCATCCCGTTGCAATAATCTCAAGCTCTCCATTAGAAATTCCCTCAAGCAACCCTCAAATAGCAAGTCTATCCTCAAGCAGTAACGTGAAGTAAAAGAATCTAATAGACAGGAGATAACTCAAATAGTACAGTTATAACATGGCGTGAACCTTAATCTACTCGAACAATAACATGAATGTAGCTACGCATGGACTCTCGTCACCTCGCACGTACGTATCCTCCACAACAAGTAGCACATATCAATTACATCACCTAGGGGTAATTTTCCCCTGACAGAGTTAGACAAGAGACTTACCTCGCTCTGAAGTTCTAAAAACGGGCTCCAACGCCAATCTAACACCTCAAACCATGCCCATCGCTCCAAAATTAGCCAGACAATGTGCAAACTAGTAAAAATATACTCTAATACTCATAACAAAACAATTTAGACAAACTCTCAACTCCGCTCGAAAAGTCGATAAAGCAACCCGCGGGACCACGTGCACGGATTCCGAAAATTTTCAACGATAAACATTACCCATAACATTACTAACTCAAATATATACTTTATTCCCAATTCCATGCTAAAATTCGTGGTCAAAATCCAAAAATATCAATTTTCTAGGTTTTCTATCAAAAATCCCAATTTCTACACATTTTCCATGAATTTCCATATTAAAATTCATATATAATCCAAATATTTAACTTGCAATAGGTGGGAATCATTTACCTCATAATAGATGATGAAATCTCCTCTTTCAAAGCTACAAAAATCACCCAACCAAAATGAAAAATGGGAGAAATGAGCAAAACCCCCTGTTTTTAAAACTTCACTGCCCAGGAGACCCTCATTCACGAATTCGGCAATCCCCTCGCGTTCGCGAAGGCCAACTTGCACTGCCTCTAGAAATTCCTCTTCGCGTTTGCAGTCCCAATGTCGCGTTCGTGAAGGCTAGGCACTTCCAGACCCTGGCTATTTTCCTTCTTCGCGTAGCCCGATCCCGTTCACATAGGACTCCTCTGCCCTCTTCTCCACGTTCGCGAGCCCATAGTCGCGTTCGCGATGCACAATTTCCCCTAGCTCCACCTTCTCTTCCTGATCGTGTCCCTTCAACCGCGATCGCGATGCTTACTTGGACCACCAGAAACCAGCAACATCAAAACATCCTAACTTGGCCCGGAACCACCCCGAATCTCACCCGAGGTCCTCGGGACCCCGTCCAATTACACAAACCAGTCCCATAACATAATACGGACCTGCTCGAGGCCTCAAATCACATTAAACAACATCAAAATCATTAATCACACCACAATTCAAGCTTAATTACTTTAGAACTTCAAACTTTTACATTCGATGCCGAAACCTATCAAATCACGTCCGATTTACCTCAAATTTTGCACACAAGTCACATTCGACATTACAGACCTACTTCAACTTTCGGAATTGAATTCCGACCCGATATCAAAAAGTCCACTCCCGATCAAACTTTTCAAAAATCTTCAAATTTCTAACTTTCGCCAAATGACCCCGAACTGACCTACGGACCTCCAAATCCACATCCGGATGCGCTGCCAAAACCAGAATCATCATACGAAGCTATTCCCAGACTCGGAATTCCAAACGGACATTGATAACATTAAAATACACTTTCACCCCAAATTTATGAAATCCTTCCAAATGCCAACTTTCCACAATAGGTACCAAAACACTCCCGGGTCATCCAATACCCGATTCGTATATACACTCAAGTCCAACATCATCATACGAACCTGTTGAAACCAACAAATCCCAATTCTGAGGTCATTTACTCAAAAATTCAACCTTAGTCAATTCTTCCAACTTAAAGCTTCCGAAATGAGAATTTTATTTCCAAATCAACCCCGAACTTACGGGAATTCAGTTCCGACCGCGCGTGCAAGTTATAATACCTGAAGTGAAACTACTCATGGCTTCAAACCGCCGAACAACACGCTAAAGCTCAAAACGACTTGTTGCGTCGTTACAACCTAAGCACAACCTAAGCTCATGAACTGGCAGGAAGAAGAAACGCACCCGAACCTCCCTTCTTACTACCCTTTCAAAAGGTGAGGCAGAAGTTATAGGTATTTAACCGGTTCGGAAGATAAACTATCAATCAATGACATTGCCAAAATAGATATTTTTCTTTGCCTTTCAAAATATTGAGTATTGAGAGAAATAAAATGCAAATTATATTGTTGTCAATCCAAGCTGAGTCAACATATTGGAGGCTACTAGGTCTTGAGAAAATTTGTTGTACAAAGTGATCAGTGAAAGTCCTCAACTTCACAAGGTATTCAAAACTTTAGGTAATTGATGTGAAACAGCCACAGTTGAGTTGGCAGGCATGCATATTGAGTTAAAAGTTTAAACCTGTAGAATTATATAAATCTTTTTAATTTCAATTGTATATTTAAATATAAAATCTTATATATTTGAATTAAAATTTGTATATTTAAAAATCGCCTACGAAGTACTATGGGTCATAATAATTCATAAGTAAAAATACGAAAAGACATGCAAAAATAATAATCAAAGAACTCATTTAACTCTCCAAATCCAAACATCATTCAGTGGCCTCACACACGCAAAATGTTTCGTTTTTTTATCTACTACCTTGATTACATGAAAATTCCATCATTGTATTCGCGGAGGATAATGAGGACAACTACTTTCTCTTAAAAGCATATAATGGAACTTTCTAGATGCTTCAGACTAGCGAAAGTATAGATGAATGTAGTGAGAAGCCTGTCCGCATGCTTCATCCTATTTCCATAAATGATGAGTTTATGTGTGTTTTTTTGGTATACAAGAGAAGAACCAATATACATATATATAAAAGGCAACAAATTCAACTAACACTATAGCCTTTTCAATCCAACCTGAACTTTCGCATCCACCACCGTGGGAATGTTGACAGTACTTCTTGTGTAAAAATTATTTACAATTGCAATACAATAGTATTATTTAAATAAGTACAATTACTAAATTCAACCAAACTTTCATTTTCAATCCAATATAAATTATGAATCCATAATTTCAAAAGTATAACAAATTTAGCGATAAAGATCGAATCTCCCTAGGAATTTGTCCTTGCCATAAAATCCTCTCCTACCTTATAACTCCTTTCTCTTTTCTGATTCCCAAGGTCCGATCTGTGTCTCATCAACATAAAATAAACACCTAAAATAGTACTATTCAGTCTATGATCTCCATTATTCATCAGTTATACATTTGCACACAAAATGTTAGAGCGAAAACTGAGAGAGATCCAAGGGTGGACAGGGGCAGCTGGAGAGGAGTAGGTGTGAAAGACTCAATTACTCCTTGACCACCTTTCCTTCTACCTGATAGTCAGATTAAAAAGAAAAAGAGTTAGAATGGATATAAAACACATAGCAAAGATAGATGTAACGGAAACAATAACAAAGCCTCAATTTTGAATTCAGCTAGTATTTAATATTGTGTCACATTATTACTTATAAAGCTTCATTTAAGTTCATCTCAATCCAAACAGAAAGAGCAAACAAAAGCATGTTATGCAAAAATAAACAATTAGCAAGAGCCACAAGTATCAAAGATACAAGAGAGTAGAAAGAAATTAAACCAAAGGAATAATTAAAAGCCAATGCTACTTACTCTTAAACAGTGATTTCCTTGTTGCTCGGTCAAACTCAGTTTTTAGAAAAATAATATTATGCTTTTCAGAATCCGTTGAGTCGTCAAAAGAGGAAGGAGTGAGGCTGTCAAAGCATGACCTAACCTTGGCCATCCATTTCTCTTATTTATGTATAATTATTAACTGGCCAAGTTTAGATCATGCTGGCAGCTTCACTTGTTCCCTTTCAGACTTGGATCTGAAGTATCCATTTCATATTGCAAAAAAGTAATGTATAGGAAATGCTATATATAACTAGTGGTTGAATTGAGAAGAAGAAGAAAATGCAAAAGAGAGCGAGTCTTAAAGTGAAGGGAGGAGTTTGTTGTTAGCATTTATTTATACTATAGTAGTAGGAAGCTGGAGGCATTATCATTTTTTTATATTTAAAAAAAGAAAAAAAGAGAGAGAGACAAGGACCGAAGGATAAACAGTGAAATAAAGCCGAATGTGTAGGCAATTGAGCAGCAATGAATTAAAGAGAGTGAAAAAGAAAGAAATTAAAGCTAGGGTGTGTAATATAGGGTCACAAACATGCAGGAGGAGGCAATTAGCCGAAAGTGGAAAGTAGGGCGGCAGGACAGGGTGGCGATGCTTGTCTTCTTTCTTGGTATTACCACCTCAATCCTATGTACTCCACTAAAGAGACCCACATTAATTAAACCCTAGAAATTATACCTATTCAATTGATATATGCTCCTCCTTACTCTGCTGCTAGTACAAAAAATAAGGATTTACCAACTTATCAATAATAATATTAATAATAAGGATATACCACTCATGGTTATTGTGAGATGATAAGATCATTTCTAACCCTAATTAGAGGTTTCATATTCTAACTTGGGAACGAAAAAAAAATCTTGTAGGGAGCGTCCCTTAATTACCTGAATTACGATACAAATCCGGCTTAGTCGGAGAAAATGGCGGAAAAAATGGAGATTTAACTTATCTATATCTATCTATATTTATATTTATATTAGTCTTAGATTACGCATTTTGCGTGTGTACCTTATATTTATGAGTACAAAATTCTAAAGTTTGTATATATTACTATTAAAAAATTTAAAGATATAAAAGTGTGAAGTCCTAAATTGGTAAATATTGGTTCTGTTTAACTAAATTAAAATTTTAAATTGTTTACTTTAAGCGATTTTGAAATGAAGTGGTTGACTTTATGGCTCTAAAAGAAAATGAAAAGAGACAACCTAAAATCTCAAAATGACTATTTTTTAGTTTGTTATCATACTAGTCTTAGGATACGTGTTTTGCGCGTGTATTCTATATTAATAAAATATACTTTTTAAAAATATTACTAAAAAAATTAAGAAACAATTAATGTGTTGGACTTTAAAAATAAATTAACGAAAAATGTATATGTTCTTGAAATGATGACTACTAAATATTTTATTAGATAGCTCAATGGAAAAAAAAATTCTTTTCAAGTTCTTAGATTCGTTATTGCAGTTTCGTAGGACTTCTATAAAAATATCTTATAAAAAATATTGTTATTTTTATGATCTAATACAAAAATAAACCAAAAAAATATAAATACTATTGCCAACAAAGATTTGTCAAATAAAATAAATTTTAAGAAAATGAATTTCTTTGTCATTTTGGAATGAAGAGGTTGGTGTTATGCTCATAGAAAAATTTGATAAGGGGAAACGTGACATAAGAGGAGTTGTCAATTGTAAAATAATAATAATAAAAAAAAAACAATAAATGAAAACTCGTTTAGAATATAGTTTGTATTCTATTGATTCCTCCTGATTGCTTTAAGTTTGTTTATTTACGAATTTGACTCTTAATACTATTATAACCAAATAATGCTATTCTTGTAAAAACAAATTTATGTGTCACACTCGATTTGTCAATTTGAAAATAAATTTACTTATATGATAAATATGAAAAATAATTAAATTGATTCTTGTTAATTAGTTAATTTAAAGGCTTAATTATATATTCGCAAAATTGAAGGCAATAATTATTTTTTGTTGATTTGAATTCTTCATATTAGCTCATCCAATTTTAAATAATTAATTATAATTATAGTGTTATACAGTATTATTTATATTATCATTAGTAAAAATAATAATTTAATATTTCACTTTTTGGATTTTTATGTTTGTAAAGTCATTAATGTAGCTGACTCTTGTCAACCGTTTAAATATTTTGTTAGTGATTTGTTCAATACTGATCGGTGTTTTAGAATACAATAACAATAACAACAACAATAACAACAACAAGAAGCATACTTAGTATTATCTCACACTGTGGGGTCTAGGGATGGTAGTATATATGTACGCAGACCTTACTCCCATCTTATGAGGATAGAGAGGCTATTTCCAATAGGCTCTCGGCTCGTATAAGCATCACAATAATGAAAATATAGAGAAGAAGGGACAGTACCAAACAACCATAGAATAAAAATAACAAAGCAGTAAGGTGATTAGTCATACAAACCTACTACCAGCAGAAATCGAGATTGTACGTCAACACTGCTGTTAAGATTACTCTAGACTACTTACTCTACTACCCTAATCCTCGGCTACCATAACTTCCTATCAAAGGTCATGTGCTCGGTCAGCTGAAGTTGCGCCATGTCTTGCCTAATTACCTCTCTCCACCTCTTCTTAAGCCTACTTCTACATTTTCGTAGGCCCTCCAATGCTAACCTCTCACACCTCCTCACCGGGGCGTCTGTGTTTTAGAATATTATGTACTGAGTTATTATTATTATTATTGGTATTATTACCAAGCTTTTATATAAAATACTTATCGATTGAACTATAAAATTGACTAATGGTTGATATGAAAGGAAATATAGATGCAAACTTGACCTTGTATGACTGAAATAAAAGGACAAAAACACAAAAATTATTGTGGAGTTTCGTTGTTGGAAAAGGTAGATATATAGATTATTTTTACGTATAAGCTTTTGTATGGTTTTGTGTTTTAGTTCATGTTTTTAGATTGTCGATTTCCCTTTTCCTTTTTTAGCGACTTATATAAAAAAAATTAAATGATTTTAATATCCTAAATAGTTGGACTTTGTACTTAATTCAAATAAGGAATGATTTAACTGATTTTGAAATCATAAATATTAGAAAATAACTCAAATTATAATTGTTTAATATGATATATATTTTTAAAGGTTAAAAAAGGCGAACGACAATTCGTTAAGAGTTTTCGTGCTTTTAATATAGTATAGATAGATATAAACTACTTCATAGATAAAAATATGGGGAGGGGGTGGGGGCGAGGGGGAGGGGAACTAATGAAAATTCAATTGGAAGACATTTTATCCTTATTGCTTCAGGTTTGCATTAATCTATTTGACTCTTAATATTATATTTATAATTAATTTTGCTCTATATTCTAATTTCTTTCTTCACTAATGCTCTTTTACGGCAATATAAATTTATGTAACCTAATAGATGTGTTAACTTGAAAAATACCCTTTTGTGTATGATTAATTTGAAAAGAATTGAATTGGATTCTTTGGCTCTTAATTACCAGAAAAAGACTTAATTATTTGTTCTTAACTTTAAAGGTCATAATAATTTATTCTTTTATTCAAATTCGTTGTATGCTCATCCTGAGTTTTAATTATGTTGTTAAAAGTATTTATCTTTTTTTTCTTAATCAGCTCATCAGGTTACTAATCCCACATTTATTTATAGTTATTTGTAGTTAGTATACTGTTGATAGTGTAAAATATTTTTGGCATTATTACTAAGAGAAATTAAACTTCTAATTACTAATGACTGTTTTTAACCAACAAAAGGAGGTTAATTATTTACCATATCTTTTAAACTATCATATCGAACTTGTAATGAATAGTTACATATTATTGTAGGCAACTTATCGTAATGGTGTAATCTCAGTGCACAAAAATTAAACTAATAATTTTTTAATCATTGTGGCAAATAATTTTTTTAATCACTCAATAGTGTAAATTGAAGGTAAAGTTTGCTCTAGGAAGGTAATTCTTAACATGCTATGAAAAAACCACGAAGAATAGAATGGATATCCACAGAGTTGTTTGTAATATAAAGTTCGGATTTACTGAAGTAAAACGAATATTTTATATAAAATATTTTCTTAACTATATTGATGAAAAATCTACATATTTCTAGTTATTGAATTGATTAAATCTTGACATTACCCCATGATATTAGAACTCAATCTTGAGTTTATCAAGTTTTAGTAACTTTTAAGAGTTATATAGTTTGTGAAAAAAACTTATCCACACCGGGTGTTTACACCAAACCAATAGATACATGACATGTGTCTTGCATATGGACTTCAATCATTTAACTATGATAAATTATGTGCATTCTGATCTAATCAAATTAATTAATCATAGTGAGTTAATATAGTTTGGTGTAAACACCCGGTGTGGGTAAGTATTTACCTTTGTTCGAGCTTTTGAATTCGACCAGAATTATTCTCAAATCAAACATTTAAAACTCAAGTAATGAGCCTAATCAACTCAGTAAGACTTATATTTAGAAAAGAGAAGTCAAGTACTCTTTCTGTCTTATTTTATACGTATACGTATAAGACTAATTGAGATGTCAGATAGTTTTTATTTGTTTATGGATTTTGGAGCATTTTAAAGGTTTTTAATTATGTAAATTTGTACATACGGCTTATTTTGTATTCTCTAAATACGTATTATTATTTCTAGAATTTTTTTACAATCAATATTTATATAAAACTAAAGTTAGATGTTTTTGCTCTCTCTACCGAATCTTGCCATCATATTTTTAATTGGATGAATGGTGTTGCATTGTCTATTGTGGAAATTGTTTTTCACAGAAATATAACGTAAGATTGAATACAATAGAATATTATCTGATCTTTAATTTTTTCCTTGAATCCCTCCATTATGTAATCTTTGCCTTTTTAAGCACATAATTGGTTTTAGTTCTTAAGATTACAAGTTTTAGTTTTAAGGAGGCTTTAGTTGTAGATGTTTTTTGAGTGATATGACGGTGTAAATTTCTTTTACACGAATGATGTATATAATTTAAATCATGTTTAATCACTAATTCGAAACTGTATAAATTTAGGGATCTTTATATAATTAGTCGGTTGGATTTACTATTTTTTTTTTAACCAGTATACATAAATTATATTTATGTTATATATACATATACTATTTAAGTTAATTCTAGTGGGAGGTAATTCCAGAGTCCAGACACATAAACAAATTTAGGTTTTGGCCACCAGTGGTGGCATGCGTCAACGAACACCCGTGATTAAGGAAGTATGACAAAAGCT